ACGACTTATAATTGTTCATGCGGGTTCGCAAGATGGTTTTGTTCCTGGAGCCTGTCTCATTTTCAAGGCTGGCTGTGCCACTGGTGATTATCACGGTCAAATGAACCAAGAAAATTTCACGAAGTGGCTTACTGAAAAACTATTTCCTAACATTCCTCCTAATAGTATTATAATAATGGATAATGCACCTTACCATTCAGCTTTGGAAGACAAGCCTCCAACTAGATCTTCTCTAAAAAGAGACATCATCACGTGGTTGAGCAAAAAAGGTATAGAGCATGATCCTAATGCTAAAAAAATGGAGCTTTATGAAATCGCTTGTCTACATAGGCCACCATCTGATGAGAAAAATTATAAGATAGATAATTTAATAAGAAGTTTCGGACACACCCCACTTCGAACGCCACCCTATATGTGTCAGTTTAATCCCATAGAGATGATTTGGGCACAAGTAAAATTTTTCATTAGAAGCCATAATACAAGCGGCGAATTTACTATAAAAAAACTAGATGAAATTTCTAATAAGGCCATCGCTTCAGTAAGTGCCAGTGACTGGCAAAAGGTTATTGGACATGTTATAAAAATTGAAGATGAATATTGGGAAAAAGACAGTCTCATTCAAGAAATACAGGAAGAAATAATAATCAACATAGGAGGTGAAAGTGATAGCAATGACAGTTCCTCAGACAGTGATCATGACTCTAATCAGGATTGAAACTATACTAGATTGGCTACCTTTTAGAATTTTTAGATATTCATTTATTATACTATTGGTTTGTGGCTTTTAGTATCTCAGTAGAAAGTCTAATTCTATGTGTTGTTTATGGGTTATTTCATCAAGAAATTACTTTTTGTTTTCCTATATTTTTCTATTCAGTCAGATATTTTTGACTTGTTGTATTCTATTTTAGAAGAATGCATAATTTGTTTTGCTGTTCAATCATAATGCGTACATAGGAATATTACTTGTTGCCTAAAAAATATATTTATTTTGTTCTCAATATTCAGTGTTTGTGTATATTTATTTCTTATAATGTATGTTTGGTATCACGTCATTATGAATCGCAAAAAATATTAATACTACCAGTTGTAATAAAATATAAATTCAATTAATAATTCAAGTCTCTCCGATCTCCGCCTATGACTCCATATAAAATCGTCTAATGGTAAGGTTTTTTCATCGCATTTCCCCCTTTCGTCCCTAGCAATCTTTGGCTGGTCGATCAATAGACAGAATCGAGTTTCGCCGCCGAAGATGACATTATGCTATACTGCCTCCCAATGTTGCCGTTCTCTGCTCCAGCTCTAACGTTGACTACAGTGGTCCGCAGTTAGGGTGTCGCAGTGCTAGTTACCTGAAGCGCCGATCTTGACGCTCTGTGGGACGCCTCGGTAGACCAGTTGGCCTCATTCGAGTTCCTCTACCTTCTTCTATCCACACACGACACACGCGCGTTACCGTCATTGCAGAACAATCAAGACGGCGGCCAATTTGGCGATAGGACGAACCAACATCTCGATAGGCCATAATTCTAACATGGTGATAACTCGAGGATTGTGTTAGGTTTAAAATTAGCAAATGAAAGCGCAGTAACCGAGAGTATCTGTACTACTCAGCTCTCAGAAACTGCTTTCTTCGCAAAAACGAAGAGAAAATTTTAACAAAGGCAGACAAAAACAAAGATAAAACGTTGATATTGTTGTCATGCTTTAAATATAGTCATTATGTTGCCATAAAAACCAGTTGAGGAAATTATTTTTTCTGGCTGTGACACTTCTGTCACTGAGTATACAGGGTGTTTGGTACATCGTTTGCCAAATTGAAATGGCAGACAGAGAAGGTGTTTTTCTATCACCTCAGGTCCCTCAAATAGTTTCTAGTCCAACGGAATTAATTATGTAGATTTTTTTTAGTGAAAACTCCAAAATGTAATACACAAAGTGAAATAAAAAAAATAAAGAGTATGTCCACCTAATGATTCATTTATCTTGATTGGTGATGTTCTACCAATATTATGAAGTCAACATTACTTGCCAGCAGCATGTAGTTTTTTATTTATAAACTCACAAAGGGTTACAAAGTCTCAATTAAACATTTCTGTAAAAACTGAAAGTGTTCAAGTTCTTAAAATTCTTTCAAAAACTACTCTAGTTTATCCCGATTCTAATGGTATGCCACAAGTCACCAACAAATTTAACTAACTTATTGAATTTGCAAATTTTGTGTACAGGGGAAGGAAAATAAAAAAAACGGTTAAAATCAAATTACAATCATTGATTATTTTTCTGTTTAACAATCTTGTTAGAATTGTTGTCCTTTGTCTTATCTCGAGGGTTGTCGTGGGTAGGCGAAATTCTTGCCGAATCGTACCAAACGCCTCTTCTATTCTTCGGATCAACTCCTCCCGTGTCCCCCTTTTAAATATTACAATTAATGGAAATGTAATTTTTGTTGCAGGAAGAAACTGAGCGAAAACGGATTTTGTCCGCCCGAATATATAATTAGCATGGACGTCTGCGGAATTAAATCTCACTGGAAAATTTAATTAGTTACAAAGTGAAGTGATTAAAGAAGCTACGGAAATCGCTCGCTTTAAGTCGGCTGTGATGTGAAATTGTGAAACCTGGAGGAGTTACCAATGGTCGCCTGGAAAGGTCGTGTTGCAGGATGGTGATGATCATTAAAGGACGAGTGCTCGTATGCTGTTGCTTGTGGATCGTTGGATTCGTTGTCTCAGGTTTGTTGTTTTAAAAATATTTTAAACAGGGTCTGTAGTCGTAAGGGTCGGTCTTAGATCCTTTTTTGAGATAAGTTGGACATGAACGAATTTACAGTTTTCTGGGGAGGTACATTTGATACAACTTCTAAATGCTGTAAGATCCAACCTGAACGAGATGTTGAAAGTGACCACCTCTGGATTCAACACAAGCCCGTGCTCTACGCCACAAAGACTCTCTGACCCTTTAAAAAATTCCTGGCGTAGTATCAGTAATGTTCGAAACCTTCTGTATGCTTCGTCCGCATACATCGTGTCCGAGGTTGCTAACGACTTGTGAGCTCACTTAATCCGAGATACTAAAGAATCATAACTGATAATTTCAGAAGTAAAATGATAAGAATTCTACTAAAATTGATTGGTTCCACAATTACTTTGTGAAAACCAGTAGCGTGCATAGACAAGGTTTGAAGAATGGCAAGCTTCTAGACTACTGATTCAGTTATGTTGTAACTAGGTGCCATAGCTTACTTCATATGTCACATTGTGTTGGATATCATTGCTGTTCGCATTTGTCACCAACCATATACGACGCCGTTTTATGCTTGTTTGCAATCATCAGTACGTTATAGGTCTTTGAGGCAGTATTCTCAAAAACTCGACAATTTATGTGCAAAACGGTTCAATATAACTTTTGCCTAGGCAATGACTTGCAATCCAATCAGATCGTCTGACAAACGGGCAGCTAAAATCAGAGTTCTGGGACCAGACATTCTCTGCATTTTTTCCATCGGAGCTGAAGCAATTATCCTGAAAAACACACACTCAAAAAGCACTTAACACGTTGAGTACGGATGTACAGTGCAAAAAATTGAGTCTCAGGGACGGGATTTTTTTTGTGTTTCTTTCGGTGAAATTAAGTCTTTAATGTATAATATATATTGTTTTATTTGCAAATATGACTTTATTTGATATTTAAAAAAATATATTACACGTGACATCCCAGTTATGTCTCGCCGTCTTTACCTGCAAACCAATGCGTATGGACGGTGAGACATATACGTGATGCCATGTTTTGCAGGTCTAATCTTGTATGATTATGTTACTGGTGTTGAGCGCATTTCGGCGTGATGCTAATTTATTAGCTCTGTTTACGTGGAAGGGTAAGCATTAGATAAAAATGGGTAGTTACGAACGTGAGCAAGCAGCATTACAGAAGCTGTGCGAAGAGTGTATGTCCGATGATGAGAGGGGGACGTATGTTTATCAGATGAATATAAACCTAAGTCAGACGAAGAGACATCCAGTGACTACGATATTTTAGTGGAGCGTGCAAAGAGACGTAAAACTTCAATCAAAGACTTGGGAGACACTGCAGCAGGTCCATATACTGCAGAGCACAATATAAGCGTGGATGCGGAAGACACGGTAATCATAAAGACATCTTTATTTAGTAGTATGCACGTCTTCCCTGAACAAATTAGTAAATAAGTGGTAATAAGTCATATTTTGCCTGATTGGGAGAGGGATTTTATAAAAAAAAAATGACAGAGTATTCTCAAATTCCGACTCCCGCTGAAAATTTATTTATTGATTTTTCGGCAGATTTTTCACAAATTGCCTTTACTTTCTTATTACTTGGAATATTTACATATAGGCAGTTTTTTTAGATCAGGTTTTTTGACATCCATAGGAAATATTTCACGTTATTACTTTTTTACATTGACAATAATACTCACTTTTTCCACGTTTGGAATGATTCATAAAAATAAAATATTCTCGAGGATTTCAACGATTTTGTTTCAGATTCAAAATGTAATAGAAGATGTCATTTCTCAATATGCAATTGAAAGCGAAGATGAAGAAATGCAGACTCCTGATTCTGGTGACAATATAAACTGGGGTCCTGTTGACGGTTCATCACTCAAACATTTTGGTTTTGCTGAAGCTGATATTGGAATAAAGCCTGAATTTTATGAAAATTATGACAAGGAGCCCTATGATTTTTTCAAATTATTTATTACTGATGAGATAATAGAATATATGGTATATCAAACAAACCTCTATGCTGAGCAAGTTCTAAAGGAAAAACCGACGGCCAAAGGACATGTGAAAAAATGGGTTCCTACTAAAAGCTAAGAAATGGAAAATTTTCTTGCAATTATATTGTGGATGGGACTTAAGAAACTTCCACGTCTAAAAGCTTATTGGAGCACTAACATTTTATACATAAACAAAGTAAAAGAACTGATGGCCCGAGATAGGTTTGAACAATTATTGAAAATGTGGCATTTCAACAATAACGAAGATAAAAGTTATGCAAACGACAGACTTCGAAAACCGACACCTTTAGTGAACAAATTATTGGATAGATTTCAAATGATCATCAAACCAGGGTCTGATGTATGCATTGATGAAACCCTCGTCCCATTCCGTGGTCGCCTTAGATTCAGGCAATATATAAAAAATAAGAAAAATAAATTTGGAATAAAATTGTATAAGTTATGTACTGCCGGAGGTTATACATTTAATTTGAAAATATACTGTGGACTTGATAACACAGGTGGAGGCAATGCATCATCTAACGCTGTTATGTCTTTGATGAGTGAGCTTTTAGACACTGGACGGATACTTTACACTGACAATTATTATACCAGTGTTTCATTGGCTACCCAATTGTTACAAAGAAAAACGCATCTCGTAGGAACAGTGCGGTTCAATAGAAAAGGAAACCCAAAAGAAGTATTGAATAAAAAATTGAAAAAACATGAAGTAATAGGTCAGGAGAGCGGTACCGGCATTGTAATGCTCAAATGGAAAGATACTCGTGATGTGTTACTATTGACCACAGTACACACTGATGAAATAATCAAAGTTCATCAGCGTGGAAAAGAAATTGAAAAACCGCAAGCTATAGTTGATTACAATAAATCGAAAGCTTATATTGACTTGTCAGATCAGCTAAAAACTTCTTCACATTGCCTTAGAAGGGGCAACAAATGGTACCGGAAACTAGCAATTGAATTAATTTTTGGTTCTACATTGGTCAATGCATTTATTTGTACAAAGAAGTAACACAAAATAAAATTCAAATTACGGAATTCAGGGAGCTTTTAGCATTATCACTTCTAGGTGTAAATAACAAACCTAATGAACCAAATCAAAGAAATACAAAACACGAGCTTCAAGAGCATGCGAAAAATAGATGTGTGAAATGTTATGCCAAAGCTAACGAGGAATTTGGTCGAAAAGAAGCGCAAAGCAAAACACCGAGGACTAAATTTCAGTGCACTCCTTGTAACAAGAGCTATTGTATCCCGTATTTTTTTGAAACCCATCATGCTGAGAAATTGGACTAACATTTTAAATACCATTATATTATTTTTAAACCACATTATATACGTTTATTTTATATTATTGCATTTCATTTTGTTATATTTACTGTAGCTATATTTTCTAAATTGAAATAAAATTGTATGCTATCTATAACATAGTATTTTAGTCAAATATCCACAGCCGGATAACAGAAAACGTTCGTATCGACCGACGGCTAACTATCGTTTCCCATTCATTTGGCATTATAGCGAGACACTACACCGAACCACACCGTCTTATTCAATATTTAACATGAGACGTTATTGTCATGTCTCACCGTCCGTAGATTACCTAGTCGGTGAGGCATTACTTTAATGCCACACCGTGCTCAACGTGTTAACTATGTTGGATGATATGAATGGGTGCTTCTTTCGCTGGAAAACCCTTAAGCTATTGAGAAGCAGCAAATGATTACCTGTTTCAAGCATCAAGTCATGAGTATCTTCATGAGATGTAGGAGATGCGAGTCGGAAGAAGAGACAGTTGAGCCCTTGACTGCCTATGTAATCAGAAGTATAGGATCAATCACTTCTTCTTTCGGTGGTTTGAAATTTCCAGTCCTGATGAATACCTGAAAATGACGTACATAAGGATCAATAGGGCATAAAAGCGTAGGGTTCTTGACTGGCACACCCTACAATTTGAGAACCAGTTCTCGAAATTAGAGAGTAGAATAGCTGAAAGGAAGTGGGCAGGGTTATCTTACCTTGCGAGGACTGTATTTACTAAACTGAGAGGAAAGTCGGTCCCCGGATCATTTTTATATAAAGGTCTTGCAAACGACCACTAGTCTCGCCTCCAAAGACGAAATTGTCTTTGTGATAAACGTGTACTGATATGACGAACACCAAAAGCACATTATTTTGCCGAAAATGGAAACATCCATTATTTGGTGAAAATCAACAACTTTCAGAATTAACACCCATGGATTATTGCTCAAAAAACATTCGATTTTACTGTACTCAAGAATTATCCACGGGCGGTGGGTGATGTGAATCGGAACACTAGACAAGTAGGCACTTGCTTTGCGACTGCATAACCTCTCTATCAATCCTAAGGGAGCATTAACCTTATATGGCTGATCCAGCACAGAATACTTCCTGGTCACCCAATAAGGTCCAACTGCTGTGATCTTTGATGATTGAGTCTCGAAACGTTGATTACACAATCACTAAGTTGAACATGAACATCAATGAAATTTTCTAATTAGTTATAGTTTCATATAGCTCCGGTCTTCGCAATTTAACAGACCATCATCCATGACCTTTTTTTTCCGGGAGGCCTGAAGACATTAAAATTCTTATTCAGCAAAAAGTGCATTTCAAATAAATCTAAACAAACTTTCTATCGCTTGTTTTGGTTGCGTATCACAACAACTAAAGTAAAAGCACATTATAATTTTACTTTCATCGATTGTGGTCTGACCATATCGGTATTAACAATACGAATGCCTGTACACACCTTAATTTAATAGCCGATCACGTATTAGTTAAATTTTTTATGATAAGAATGATATTGTACGAGGGATGTCCTTTAAGTTATGCATATAGAAACATAGTAGGCCGCGCGGATCGAACGTCAGTACTGAATCTTAACCTCACTCTTTAGTAAACTTAAATTCCCCACCTGTTGACTGAACAGCAGAAAGCAGCCAAGGTTAATTGGTGTCAAAAAACGCTTGACCGTTTAAATTCCGGAAACTCAGAACATGTGTACAGCATTGTTACTGGCGATCAATCGTGGATTTGCTGTTATGAACCAGAAAATAAACGACAGTCGGCTGTTTGGGTGTTCCAAGGTGAAGCCAACAAAAGTCATCCGTTCTCGAAGTGTTTCGAAAAAGATGGTCGCGACATTTGTGTCAAAAGCGGGTCATATTGCAACAATTCCTTTTAACGAGCAAAGAACTGGTACTGCGGATTGGTATACCACCATTTGTTTGCCAAAAGTCATCACCGAGCTTCGAAAAGACAACGCCGAAAGAAGAATCATCCTCCACCAAGACAATGCACGCTCGCACACAGCCCATTAAACAAGGCAGTATTTAACGGAAGAAAACGTGAAATTACTGGACCATCCTCCATATATTCAAATATTCAAATTAAAATAATTTATTCAAATAATTATTACATTGACAGGCTCTAGAAATGTTAGACGAGGATACGATGAATTTTAAAATTTGTGTGTATCCCCGAATAACATTTAACATTTAATTTCCTTATCAAAAACTACAACAATAGAAAAAGCTACACTACAAAATTAATATAAATTATATATACGCACTATCTAATGTAGTAAAGCTATATATTACACATGTAGCAGCGCAGATACAGGTATTCGTTTACTCAGAGAACCATACTATTTTTTCTGTAATAAGTATATAATTAGTTTTTACCCAGTATCTAATTTTGATTTTAATGGATTTTGTAATAATTCGTTTATTCCTTATGAGAAGCGGTAAAAGATTTAACAATATGGGACCTGTAAAAGAAATATTTCTCTGAGTAAAAGAAAAACTCTGCAGAGAAGAACAGAATCTCGATTCAGTTACTGCCCTGGTTTGTATCTCTCTCATGAAATATCCCATACTTTAAAGAAAATTGAATAACTCTTACACAGTAAAGTTGCCTTAAGTTTAGAAATTCTGTTTGAGAAAAAAGAAGATCGGTAGAATACATTTTAGGTTTATATAACAAAATTTTTAATAAAAATTTTTGAGCCACTTTTAATGGTTGTAAAAGGGATTAACATGCTGAACCCCAGCACAAAATGCTATAATTTAAAATAGATTCCGCTAGTGAAAAATACACCATTTTCGTTAACTTAAAGGTTAAGACATTCCTTAGTTGCGAAAATTTGTACACTAATTTCCTAACTTTTTTGCTGATGTAGTCAACATGTATGTCCCATCTTAAGAATCTATCAAAATAGACACCCAAATATTTAATATTGTCACAGGATTGTATTTTTAAATGACAGTTACAATTTAATTGAACGCTACATGAAGAGTTATGTAAGGGAATATACACTTTATTAGGCATGTCCCTTCTGGTCATAGAAAAAGATATAAATTTTGTCTTTTCAATATTTAGAGTCAGTTGATTTATGTCTAACCAGCATTTTATTTTGTGTAAGTCTAGTTCAGCTTTAGTAAAAGCATCAAGCCATGAACTACCAGCGATTAAAAGGGCAGTGTTATCTGCGAAGCACACAATTTTACCATTAACGTTTAAGTTTAAGAGACTATTAACATACACTGAGAACAGAATCGGGCCAAGCACTGTACCTTGCGGTACGCCAACAACTACTTTTTGAGCTTCACTATAAATAACATCGCTTAACTTAACTTTTTGATATCTGTTCTCCAGGTAAGATTTAAATAAATTATGTACTACTCCACGAATTCCTATGCCTTATAGATGTTTGGGTAAAATATTGTGATTGACCGTATCAAAGGCTTTTTTTAAGTCTAAGAAAACAGCTACTGGTTTAAGACCCTTATTTATACTATTTGTCACAAATTGGTTAACATTATACAACGCATTATCAGTACTAACCTCTGGTTTAAACCCAAACTGATCCGGAGATATTATTTTATTTTTCTCAAGGTAGTCCCATAACTTTGATTTAATTCACTTTTCTACTATTTTATTAAGCACACTACACAAAGCTATATAGGCCTATAGTTATTTATGTCCGTTTTATCCCCATCTTTGTGGATTGGAATGACAATGGAGTATTTAAAAATTTTAGGATAACAACCAGAAGAAAAAATAATATTGATCAGATGCAGCAATGGTTTAATGAGACTTTTATGATTTTCTTTTATAATTCTAGAGGATATGCCGTCCTCTCCGCATGAGTTGGTATTTTTTAACGAACCAAAGACATTAACAAGTTCCGTCTCGTTAACAGGCTGGAGAAATAAGGATTTATCCAAACAATGCTCATAAGATTGTGGTTTTGGTACTATTTTAGATGCAAGTTTTTTGCCAATTGAACTAAAAAAGTCATTCATTTCATTAGCTATCTCATGTAAGTCTGTGGTAGTTTGACCATTATTTTTTTTAATGATTTTTATGGTATTTTTTTCTTGAAAATCGTTTGAAGCCTCCCTAATGTTTTGCCACATTTTTTTTGAATCACTTAAGTTCTGCATTATTTTATTTTTGTAGTATGAATATTTGGTTTTTTTAATAATTTTAGACAAGCAATCTCTATACTCAGTATATATTTTCACAGCTTGTGGACAATGATTGGAACATTTGTTTTTAATTTATTTCTATGACAAATACACTTAACAAGATTTATAGTGATCCAAGGCTTTAAACATTTATACCTAGTGTGTATTGGAGTTACAGTAGTGCTTTGTTCTAAGTAATATTTAATTTTTTTTGTTATTGATTCAGCTATAATGTCGGGTTCGGTTTCATTTAAAATACTTTGCCATGACTCATCATTCAAAAGATTATGTAACATATTAAAGTTTGTGTTTCGACGGAACTTATTAACTTTCTCAGCATCGCCATGCTTCATATCGATACTTAATATTACTGGAAAATGATCAGTTATGTTGATAACGGCCGCATTACATAACTTTAAGGTTTTCACAAAAAAATGATCTAAACACGAATCCTTTCTAGTGGGTATCGTAATGTACGGAAAATAGCCCAATCCTGCCAAGCAATTAAGATAATTTG